TCCTGATGTGGATATCCTGGAAAATTCTTTGACCCTGACCGCCATCTTGCATACCTACTACTTATACACATCATGCAGCCTTCCTCTTGGAGGTACAAAGTAACCATGCATTATCCTGGTCATCTCATCGTCTTCATCATCGGCGTCGTCAAACCATCCAACTAGTGTCCATACCAAGACTTTCTTTCTCCTTCAACATTGCAGCTAATTCTCTTAAGACAGTTTCAGCCTCTTCCCCTTGCATTACTGTACTTTATTCTGACTCTTGCGTCTCTCATTTTCCAACCTATAATTTCTTACTTCCCCGCGTCCATCATCGCTGATTCTCGTTTTCCTTCGATACTTCCGCACTTCAGCTGAGGGCTCGGGCGGACAATTCATTCTTACTTGAGCTGTGCAGGTCACACAAGAGCTGACGACTTCCCCCTCTGTCGTACAATATCATCTTTCTACTCTCTCTTCCGTTATTCTCAATCTCCCATTACCTCCGAATACTCAACGACCTCCTTCTCATCCGTGTTTACCCCGCTTTCATTCTCCGATCTCACCCCAGATCAACACAAGATCCAGCCTGTGTGGGTTGAACTTCGTACAATCTATCGATCCTTGGCGATTACATCACAAGCTACCCCTGCATTCGCCTCTGCCTAGTCAATCGATGTTCCTCTTAATGGGTAGACCGCAGTCTTTCGATCCCATGAAATAATGCTATTCAACCTTGGTTGGACGGCGGATGCTGCTGCTGCTCATGAGAACGACCTTGTCGCACCCCCATCCGAGTCACGACTCTCCAGTGCCGCACCACATACCTCCTCAACCGTCGCATTTCCTACTCTATCCTCTCTGGGACTGGCGGAACTATATCATCGATACAAACCAACGGAAAGCAACAAATCGCACAAAGCACCACTGCGTACAATGCCGCTGAGCCAAGTCGAATCGCTCTCGTCCAGCGATGACGATCATACAATAGTGCCGCCAGCTGCAGATCGGCCTCGCGTCAGCCGCGCCCACTCAGTTAGGAAACCATCATCACGCCCGAAAACTATCTACCAATTGGCCCACCCGGCGGCCCACGCACGTCATCGGCGGTTGAAACTTCGGCCAAAGCTTCTTCTGCAGTTACAGCGAGTCTCTCAGACGACACGGCCCCTGCCTGTCTTGGATGTGCTACCATCAACAGTTTTCCTGCCGCCGTTGGCTCGCAAATTTCCTACAATTTTCAAAGGGAAAAAAGGACTCGGACCGAATGATTTGATCGTCGTGACAAGCGATTTGTACGAACGGACGGTAGGAGACATCGCGGACAAGTATCTCAGCTCGGACGAAGAGAGCCAGGAAAGCCGGGAGGTTATCGCAACGATCTGTCAAATTCTCAGGGAGGATGCTTTGTCCCAAGGAAGAGCGGAAATATGTCTTAGCTCTGGTCCGGCCTGGGAGGCGATCCCGTTGCCCAATGGTTCGTATGAATTTAGAGCCCAGACGGATTATGGGGTGCAGGTTTTGCGTTGGGTCTCGCGTGGAGCGAAAAACCGCCGTGTATCAGCACCTCCTGGGGGTTCCCTGCACGAGGACGGCAAACGTTTTACATTCAGTGTTATCAACCTCAATACCCGTCGACATCCCGTCATCGCATCGATGACTCGCAATGTCCTTGAAGTGTTTGACGAGTATTCTATGCCTTCTGTCTCTGGAGATCCTACTCTTTCACCTACATGTGGCATGTCGGTGGTCAGTGACTCCTCGGAATTGGACACCCCCCTCGACCGAGAAGTGATCAAAACGGATGATAGTCTTCGGACGATCATTATCCTGACGGCAATATGGGTGGCATTCAGAGAAGGCTGGTCGCAAAGTTTCACCTATGATGACTCGCCGTTGATGTTGAATCCGAAAGCGTTTTGCTCGCCCGGAGTGTCCAGACAGAGCTCTCCAACGGCCGTGAGAGCTTCGGACGATTTTCTTTCTGAGCAGAGGGATACATATTTGGACGGACCGGTGCTCAACAAGGTCGCGCATCGATCGTCGGTGTCGAGTACATTTCCATTGCAAACAGCAGTTCCTTCTGAGCGTGCCAGGTCGATGAAGTACGCCAGCCTACCAAAACGCTCGAGGTCCACTGGCGCCGCATTCATTGAGCGGTCCAATAGGCGAAGTGCCTCCGGGCTGGAAACCCAAGACAATAGACATAGCATGTTTCCGGCGACGCAAGATTTAGGTAGCACTGACGCGACGGGGACTCTTACCGCTCGCGGGTCTTCTTCTCGCCACAAAATAGGCGATATCACGACTTCTGACGGTCCAGACACAGTGCTAGACAAGTCTACTGATACGAATCGTCGGTCACGAAAGCATTCGGCGGCGTCCTCGGAGAAGGCCAGCAAACTCCTTGAAACCAGAGCGGTAGATTCTGCCTCGTCCAAAGGAAAGCGACGACATCGATTAAGCGGTTTTTTTGACTTTTTCACGAAAAAAAGCGGGCATCATTAAGCGAAGACTGGTGCTTCGCTGGCTCCTTGCCATTTACGCAACTTGCATCATGTGCACGAAACCATGTCTCCATGCGGGACCGTGGACTACACTTGGTTTGGCTCTGGAGGCCGCCTCGCACACTCGATCACTGTTCGCATAAACCTCTCATCTCCTTGCATTTTAGCATTTATGATTCCCACGGTATCAAGGACTTTTTACTTTCATTTTTACATTTTCGTAGTTTTGTACCCGTCCGTGTCGTTATTTAAGAGACATTCTCATCTATGATATATGTCATTATCTAGAGGAGTGTACATAGAGAAGAGTCTGAAACCAGTGGTCTGACCCTCTGCAGATTAACTGCATAAATGCAACCACTTAAGCACGCAGGTATCGACGGATCCACCGTTAAATACAAGCATACGAACAATCACCGCTCAAGAGCCGTTAGAGCCTTGGGAAGATAAGGTTCCTCGAGGTACTTGATCTCCTCCGGCGTCAGCTGCACCTTGACAGCAGCAACCGCCTCATCAATCCGCTCCTTGCTCGACAGACCCAGAATAGGGTTCTCCTTGGGATGGCTCAGCACCCAAGCAATGGCTACCTGCGCCATGGAGATCCCCTTCTTCTTCGCGATCTCCTCGACCCGCTCGACGATCGCCTTGTCGGCTTCGGTTTCGCGGCTGCGAATCAGCAGCTTCAGCGCCGCGTCGGTGTTCTCGCGGACGGAGGAGCGCGAGCCCCAGGGTCGGGCCAGGACACCGCGCGCCATGGGCGACCAGGGGATGAGGCCGACGCCGGAGTCGAGGCAGTAAGGGATCATCTCGCGTTCTTCCTCGCGGGCGAGGAGGTTGTGGTAGTTCTGCATGGAGATGAACTGGTGCCATCCGTTGCGGGCGGCGATATTCTGGAGGGATTGGAACTCCCATGCGGCCATCTGAGAACGTCAGCGGTAGGGTCCTTTTGGACAGTCTGCAAGAGCAGGAGAACGAACCGTGCTGGCCCCAATGTATCGGACCTTCCCGCTCTCGATCACGTCGTTGAGAGCCTTCATGATTTCCTCGCGCGGCGTCTCCCGGTCCAGACGGTGGATCTGCAGCACATCGATGTACGTGCCTAGTCGCTTGACGGAGGCATCGACCGCGTCGAAGATGTGCTTGCGGGAGAGTCCCACGCGGTTCACCCAGTCGCCGTCGTTCCGGCCGCAGGCGGAGATAAGAGGCATTTCGCCCTCGTTGCCTTCGTCGGCGACGCCAAAGTAGCATTTGGTTAGGATGACGACCCGGTGTCGGGGGATCGAGTACTTTTTCAGTGCCTTGCCGATGATCTCTTCCGAGATGCCGTGGGAGTATGTGTCGGCCTTTAATGTATTACTCGGGTCAGAGGATGTGCTTGCGCTGCGTTATTTGTGTCCGTGAACGCCCACTCACCGTGTCCCATGTGTTGATGCCGCGTTTGTAGGCATGTTCGATCAGAGGGAGGGCTTCGTCCTCGTTGAGGACCCAATCCTGCCACTGTTTGGAGCCATAGGACATGGCTCCTAGGATAATCTTGGAGATCTTGAGGCCCGAGTTGCCCAGACTATTTCAATTGGGTCTGGTTAGCGGTGCGGGACCCGGACGAGCCGCAAAGCATTGGGGAAGCGTACCGGACATATTCCATTTCATTGTTGGAAGCCATTCTATGCACTATTGGTAAATTGTCAGAAAAGAGAGCTCAATGTGCAGCAGCGAAGCAGAAGACAGGCAATAGTACTCACCGGAATCAACAGAGAGTCAGGATTGGGGAACGCAAATGCAACCAAACGACCAAGTCAATTGACGATAGCTCCATTCTTAAGTCCGCGATTATTATTATTGAGCTGGCTCCAGCTTCGGGCACTGACGTAGAATGAACCATCCGTGACTCAAGTTTGGTCTACCGTATCTGCCGAAAGTCTGAAGCGATGATGCGGTTGAGCCGATGAGTAACCGACCAGCGCTGTTGCTGGTCTCCGATATTCATCATTCGGTCCAGAGAGTCGGTTGAAGTATCAGCTTGGCCCTTCTTCCTTTAACTATTCACATTGAGAAAAAAAGTAACTATGTCCAAATAGTCAAGTGCTGAAGCGGAGGAAGTGATGCTTCTACAAACGAAGTGGGCCCGCAGAGTTCCTAAATGACTTCCAGGTCCTAGACCCATCATCTGCTTATCTCCGATCATCCTACGGAGGTGTGGTGCAAAAGTCATTGTCGGACCCACATACCTACAGCCAATTAGCATTCAGAGATTGTATGTAGCAGGTCACGTGACTGCCGAGGACTTTTGCACCACACCTCCGTACATCTTCAATTCTGGATGATCGCCAAAGTTCATGTTGAATATGCCTGTCACATCAGAAGGGAGAAAACACACAAAAGGACCGCGATGGAGAAATTATTTTCGCCCAATCGCTGGATGCCAGCTGCCAAGCCTTCAGCCTCGTCGGCGCATACATAATACCTAGCTGACCACTCATCTCAAAAGCACACGTAGGTCGGTCGATAGCAATGGATGCGGTGGCAATCATCGGTCTGGTATCCAATATCATATCCTTCATCGACTTCGGATCTAAATTCGTCAAAGAGGCGCGCGAAATCTACAACTCTGCCTCGGGGGTTACAGGAGATGCTCTCAGCCATGGGCTCATTGCAGGGGAAATGCGGAAATTCGCCGATGACCTCGTGCCATCGGGTCAACCTGTTAACAAGAAGGACAAAGCGATATGTGATCTCGCAAAAGAATGCAAGAGTGTGGCGGAAGATATATTGAAACTCTTGGATAAGATAAAGCCGAAAGGGTCCAATTCGAGCTTCCAGAGCGTCCGCAGTGCGATTAAAGGGCTAAGGTATGAAAAGGACATATCGAACATGCAGGACAAATTGGAAAAGTGCCGAAGTCAACTGGGATTGCAACTCCACTATGCCACAAGGTGCGCGTTTATCTCTCATTGGTTCAAATGGAGAGCAAGTTCGCTGATTTGAGAAGCTCCGAAATCAAAGATCAGCTGGAGATACTTGTGAAGAATTCCCAGGAGGATGGCACTCGGATTGTGATGCTCCAGCAGCAGGTGCAAGAACTTCACCAGAATGTGAAGACAAGTGATCTATGGTTGCGACAGGGAGTCCAGAATCTGCTGCAATTATCAGAGGACTCTTATACCGCATTAATAGCACAGCGTTTACTCGACAGTCTCAGATTTGATGAGATGGACGACCGATTCCAGGCAGTCGCACGTGCTCATGAGAAGACATTTGGATGGATATTCAACAGTCATGATGGACATGATGAGAACAGCATAATGGATGAGCATTCTGAGCACAGTTCTGATGATGGCTACGATGTGGTTGATGAAAGTGGTGTGAGTGATGATGATACGCATGAAGAGGACCCCTATCGCACCACTGCCCGGAAATCCTTTCTTTCGTGGCTGACATACGGTCATGGCATTTTCCATATCTCAGGCAAGTTAGGATCCGGTAAATCCACCCTGATGAAGTTTCTCTACACAGATTCCCGCACCCAAAAGATGTTAAGAAAGTGGGCTGGCTTGGGAACGCTGGTCATGGCAAGCTTTTTTTTCTGGAAACCGGGATCCCAATTGCAAAAAACCACAACGGGCCTTTTGCGTTCACTTCTTTACCAGGCCCTTTCAAAAGTGCCAAGCCTGATCCCAGAGATCCTACCTGAACAATGGAAAGAAATCACGTCGAGACCATGGCAGGTGTATGCGAAAATTGATTTCTCACCGGACAGTCTTCGGGGAGCACTGGTTCGCCTGATTGATAGTCAATCTGAGGATCTTCGGATCTGCTTCTTTATCGATGGTCTCGACGAGCGTGACGAGATGTCCGTGGACGATGATAACCGGGCTATGGTCAATAACCTGTGCCGCTGGTGCAACGAAACATCTGGGCGTATAAAAATCTGTGTTTCTAGCAGGGAAGATAATGTTTTTATGGAACACTTCCCTGATGAAAGCCGGATTCGCATGCAATATCTTACACAAGAGGACATGAGAATTTATATTCATGACAGATTGCGCTTCATACGATCTTCAGATCATTCGGAGGATATAATCTATTCCATCTATTATAAGGCTGATGGGATATTTCTATGGGTGGCTTTGGTCACAAAACGATTGAACGATCTCCATGAGAATGGGGCCAGCTGGAGAAGACTCAGGGAGGAGCTTGATCATGCTCCTCAAGGATTGAGTGCCCTCTTCGACCACATCTTACAATCACTTGACCCCTCTGACCGGAAGCGGGCGTATCAGACATTCGCAATGATGCGAAAAGCGAGAGAATACCACCGTTCCTTACCGCTGCTCTCTTACCCTTTCATCGACTATTACGATGGAGACTCAGATACTTGCGATTATACACATTGGTGTGCGGAGAATATGTCTGAAATCGATCGTATTGTACAGGCACGCAAGATGCTGATGGGCTACTGTGGAGGTTTGGTCGAGGCGGATCCTCAAAGTTCCGAACCATTGACCATGTCCTTCACACATCGTTCTGTGCCAGAGTTTCTCAATTCAATGAAACCAAAGGATATGGAGAAATCCCTTCGAGGGTTCTGTGCCGAGGATGCCGTTTCCCGGCTTCTTCTTGCCTATCTGTGGGCAAGAGATACATCGGAATGTGAGGACTACGCTTTCGGACACTACAGTTGGCTCAGTTCACTGACCCGCGAGATAATGGAAATGAGGAAACACGGGAAGATTGGGAGAGCCCCATTTCTTTTCGAGGAACAACTTGAGCTTGCTCTTGCCCGGCTGGGAGTGAGAAGTATCACAGAGCAAGATAATTACAAAAGCATCTTACTTAATATTGACGATGCACTTTTTTTGACCGAAGTCGCAACATTTCACAAGGGTCCTGAAACAAAGTCCTATCATATATGCAACCCTTACCTGCTCGCAGCATGCCTTGGGGATTTCGCTTATGTGCTGTGGAAAGTGACACACGATCCTTTGGTCACAAGCACCCCTTTGCAGAGAATTCTCCTCTTCTACTGCATTTTATATTCAGGCATAGAAGACGACTCAGCGAGAGTCCGCCGGATTCTTGACATATTACTGGAAAAGGGCCTTAAACCACAGACGATGACGAGTCTAGGGCCGGGACTAAGCCGCGATAACAGGATCGACCACCTTGAGGTCACTGTTTGGCAGCATTTGATCATACACTTTCTTCTCACTGTTGCCGATCGAGAAGATATGACCACCTCTTCACACGGCATCTGTTGGAAGTGGGCTTTAGAAAACAAAGCTGATCCTCATTTTGCGGTGTGCATCCCTAGGGAAAAGATCCAAGGCCACCACTATTATAGCGATCAAAAGACGACGCTGATTCTTGGGAAAGATAAACGCCGACTGGACGGCGTTCCCATGTCAATCAGCTTTCCCTCGCCGATTACGTCTGAGAAATACCCGGACCCGGAAGGCACCGGTATTCGGATGACGCTGATTGATATAATCAATGAAGGGAATTTTGAGGATCGGGAAGAGCTGATTGCGTTGGTCGAGCGAAACACCCGGCTTTTGCAGAACGGGCCAGAGGGCACTGAAGACCCCACAGATAAAGGCTCCCCTGGGATAGTTCCAGAGGAAGACTTAGCTGAACAGACGAGTGACATATCTGCCATATTACCAGCAAGCGAAATAGACACCGCGCCAATTGCTCAAAAACAGTCCTCTTACGCAGCCAAAAGAACTTTGGTGATTGTATATCTCCTGGGTAGGTGGTTTGTGTTCTATGATATTATCTCTATTGACAACCTCTTGCAGGCATTCTATCTGGTATAGTTGCTCTCAATCTAGTATCTTTCTTTCTGGGTTGACAGCATTTGATATTTTGAACACGAGAACCATAGCCATATTCCAAAGAAGAGACGCCCATGTCTATATGATTGAAGCTAAAGCATTGCCCGGGAAGGCTGTGCTAGCCAATTTCTTTTTGAAGAAGCTGGATCGATGGCAGACGAGTATTGAATTTCCGTAAGCCTCAACTCGTCCGACACAAACCCGCTTCGGCCGGAACTATACCCCAAACGGCAACGGTCGGGCCCGAAACTCAGGCCACAAGGTTCTCCTCCCCGAATCATGGCCTAAGCAGATTGCCTAGCAGGGAATAAGTTGCATGCATCCTCTGGGACGGCGTAGATAGTTGCTCCGTATTTAGTAGAGTCGGAATAATCCAAATCCTGTACCTTTTGCTAGTCGTTTCAGAATCGAATTTTCTTTCTCTTTCCTTCCTCTCCATTCCTGCATCTGTGCTTCATCTCCAGTCTGTGTCTGTGCCTTCACGGGATAATGATGCTTTCTTGAGAGCTACGACGTCTGCGAGGCCAACTATCGTTGACGTGGCTTCCCCTACTGGACTTGCAGTTGGACTTCTCAATGAGGTCGATCGTCTTATATTCACAACTTTGATCTAGGTATTATAACTATATACATCCCGCGAACTAAGCACACTCCGATATTGACCGTTTCCCTTCCAATCAACAGTCACAGACGATCAATATCCGACCGAAATGGAACTCGAAAATCGCTGAAATCGAACACACACAACACAATGAAGATGCCTGACGCCTAAGCCTCGGTCTTGAACGATGTCAATCGTGCCTTGATCGCGTCCTCGGGCTCAGCGGTGTCCAACTCCCGAAGGACACCAGATCCGACATCATAGATGAGCCCGTGCACCTGAAGGCCCCGCTCCTGAATCGCCTCCAGCACGACGCTCTTCTGCATCAATGCCTTCAGGCCCTCCTTGACGTTCAGCTCGGCCAGCTTGACGACGGCCTCGTCGTCGGACAGAGATTGCAGGTCAGCGAGGTGCTGCTCACGGAGCTGCCGCAGGGGTATCAGCCAGGGGTCGAGGATACCCAGGCCCTTGTTGCCCAGTGCAGCGGCGACACCTCCACACTTGGTGTGTCCACAGATTACGACGTGCTTAACGCGAAGATGACGCACGGCATACTCGATGACGGCGCCCGAGCTGAGATCGGCAGGGTGGATCACGTTGGCAATGTTACGGTGGGTGAAGACATCACCGGGCAAAAGGCCTAAGATGGTGGTCTCGGGGCAGCGGGAGTCGGAGCAGCCGATCCAGAGAATTTCAGGCTGTTGACCGACGGCAAGTGTGGGAAGCAGCTCAGGGTGCTCCTGGGAGGTCTGGGCCGCCCATTCCTTGTTCTTGGAGAGCAAGGTAGAGAATTTGTCTGGAAGTGAGTCATTATTAGCACTCGTTTGGGCTTCCGATTTTTGACTCGATCGCAACGGCGCAGATGTGGAACAGGGCGAGCGATGCATTAAGCTGACGGTGGAGGTTGGACACGGATGTGCGCTCTGAGACGATGGAGGATATACGCCTGCTCCGCGACCCCGAAATGCTCGTGCGACTGCCGTCGGTAAAGAACGAGCATTGGAGCGCGGTAACAGCCTCGTGATGTTCATTGTGAAAATCACAAATGTACAGCGACTATTTTGAGGATTGGGTTGCTGTTTGCGATGCACAATGGGAGTGGGGGAAGATCCGATGGAAAGCGATCGAAGGGGAAAAAAAAAAGAAAAAATACGGGAAGGGGAAAAACGGAAAAAGGACAGACGGGCAACTCAGACAACCGCCGCCAACCGATCGGAAATCGAGACTTCCTATCTGATCTTCCTTGGAAGGATAGTCGTCGAGAAATTGACAAGATCCAAATGATGCGAAAGGGTCGAGGGGGAGAGAAACAAGATCAGGGTTCAGGAACAGCATCCGCAGACGCCAAGAAAGGAAATGCGAACGTACCTGAGTGACTCATTTTGTCGCAACGAGGGTCTATCACCAATCGAGGGGATGGGATCACGACAGCAGTTTCAGAGAAGTTGGAAGATGAGAATATTCGTGAGGGAGATCAGGAGAGATAAATGACCTGGTCGAGAGGGAGATTTAAATGTTGGACAGTTGGCGACGGAATTGTCGATGGCGTCGCGGGGGACCACGCAAAAGCAACCCACGTTAATTGTCCGGTGAGCCGGAAACCTGCGAACGGCATCGCGGCAATGCTTTGAGCCCCCTGACCATCAATCAGCTCTCTCATCGCGATCGCATGATATTGCCTGTAACAGGTGCTCTGTATCTACCATATCGCCATATGTGGCTTGCTTCAATCTAGCAATTACCTGATGTTCCTGTCGCTTTTCCAGCATCACCCGAGTTTCATGTGTCCGACGGGTGGATCTCAGGAGTCAAAAGTGAGCGATTTCAATTCAGCCGCTCTATCCATGCCAATAATAGAGATGAATTCCAGTTCGGGAAATATGACAGCTACGGGGCAACTTCTGAATTACTATCTACAGTAGTATCTCTGAAAATCGCGCAGTCTCCTTTTATTTCCTCCCTTCTATATATACATCATCCACTCATAATTTTACTGCCCATGCTGAACCGCTCGTTTTATACACCGAAATGAAATGACATCAAACCCATATAAACGCGCTGAGAGAATCTTCTCAAGAACTACCTCCACGTCCTCCGACGTTCGTCAGAGCCTGCTTCTGATCTTCGCTGAGCTGGACCTCAGGCAATGGACGGGCCCCGGTCGCAGAGGCAGATGGTGGGGGTAGGAATCCGATCGTAACGAGGTAGGAAGCGTAGAGACCGACGAGCTCCTCGGTCACGCCAGCGCCAGCGGAGGCATCGATGCCGGACCAGGCGGCATCCGCACGCAGGGAAGCAGCAGCGTGAACGTCATCCAGCTCGGGAGCCTTAGTGTTAGAGGGCAGGTCCGCCGTCACGAAGTGATAGAGGGGCATACTGAGGCAGCAGTTAGTATGTGTTTTGCCCCTGTCTGTAACAAAAATCTCCAAACGGGTGACTTACAGTGCGTGCTGGGACTCGGGATCATCGTGCTTTCCGTCATTGACGTAGTGCTCCAGAGACATCTTCCATGGGACGTAGTCGACTTGGGGTACGTCGTATCCGTAGGCCTGCAGAGCGCCCAGGAACTGGTTGAAACGAAGCCTGGGGTGTCCGGTCACCTGTGCGACACCGATTGGCGTGCAAGGGGGCTGGAAGGCACCGGCGATGACGACGCGAGCAACGTGGTCGACGGGCACCATGTTGACAGTGTTGTGGATGTTGGGACGAGCAGAAAGCTGGATGCATCCCTTCAACATTCGAATGAGGAAATCGTCCGTGTTCGTGGCTAGAGAGTTAATGTGGGTCAGTTTTCAATCTTGAACACAAAAAACTGGTTGGGGTATGATGCTTACTTCCGGTCTTGGAGTCACCAAGAACGTAACCAGGACGAACAATGGTTCCCTTCAAGCCTCTCCGGCCGGCCTCTCTGACGAGGTACTCACCAGCCCACTTGCTCTGTCCATAACCAGTTCCCAGTCCGACGCTGCTGCCCTCCAGATCGTCCTCCTCGCTGATACCCGCACCGCCGGCCGCAATGCTACGTTCCGACTCAAGGACGTAATGGTCATTGTCGAGGACACTGGTCGAGCTGACAAAAGAGAACTGCTTGGGCTTGCCGCTAGCACAAAGCTTCAAGGCGTCAATAGTGCCCAGAACGTTGGCTGGCTTGAGAGTAGAGTAAGGATACACCCAGTGGACAAGAGCACCGTTGTGGATCACAGCATCCACACGTTCTGTCAGATCATTCCACAGCGCCTCGGACAGACCGAATCGTGGCTCTCCCAGGTTACCACAGACGCACTGCAGCCTGCTAGTCCATGATTCGTCCCAGAAACCATACGCTCTGCAAGTAGATCGAATGCGATCGAGAGCCTGCTCGTCGCTCTTACCACGAACGAGCGCCACGACTCTTGCCATAGGCGACTTACGAGTGAGAAGATCTCGGAGGATGTGTGCACCGAGGAATCCAGTTGCACCGGTTAGGAACACGGTAGGTTCGCCCGAGAGCATGTCCTCGGTACGTTCAGGGAAGGACTTGGGCAAGGTGTCCACCAGCTTCCTGGCATCCTTGGAATATTCGTCATCAGCTTCGTTGGAGGTGGCCAGAGTATCTGCGGTGGCATCAGCCTCGTTGGCATTACTTGCGAAGGACTCGAAGTTGACCAAGCGATCGATTTCGGCAGCGAACCCTCTGAGGGTAGGGCTACGGAAGATAGCATTCATGCTGATGTCGATTCCGCGCCACTTGCGTCTCAGATCGAAGAACATCTGTTGCGCCAGGATACTGTGTCCTCCCAGATCGAAGAATGAATCGTCGGGTCCAATCATGCGAGCGGTGACATTGGAAATGCGGTTAGCCCAGATCTGGGCCAAAACCTGCTCGGTCTCGGACAGAGCCTGCAGGACGGATGATCTGCGGCGAGGCGCTGCCGCACTGAGCTCGGCAGTATCAGGGAACGGCAATGCAGGCTTGTCGATCTTGCCGTTGGGATTCAGAGGCATTCGCTTCAGAGGAATGAAAACCGTCGGCACTGCGTATGCAGGGAGCTTGCTGCGTAAGTGTTCCCGAGCGTCATCGCGAAGAGGCCGGAATCGTCTGAGCATGCCAACCATTCCTTCGGCAGAATCATCATCCTTGAGGCCCTTGCTTTCGAGCCACGAGGACCACTTGCTCATATCGGGCACGAAGTAGCTGACCAAAGTCGGCTCCTCGAACTTGTCCCTTCGCACCAGGGTGACATTCTCCCGGACAAGCGGATGCCGAGAAAGGTGCGTATCGATCTCGCCAAGTTCAATGCGGAACCCTCGGATCTTGACCTGATCGTCAGCACGCCCGGAACATTCAACATCGCCCGAAGGAGTGTATCTGCCCAGATCTCCACTGCGGTACAAGCGATCT